GTTGTTGTTGCTGCAACTTTTGTCACTTGAGTGCGCTCAGCTGGTTGCGCTTCGGCACGCAGCTTAAGCGTTACGTTGCCATCATTTCTCGCAGTGTATTTTAATGCTAGTTGTTGTTTTTTTGTTTTTTCTCCAGATACGCGGCCACCAGCGCGCTCCATCCGATTCGAAGGAGTTCCACGAGGTAACCAAGCGCGATGCACTGCGTCTGCTCGAGAATGAAGTGGATCGTCTGCTCCAGACGACAGAACCGGCTCGTCGTCCAGCACTGCAAGCGGAAATGGGTCGGTTTGCCGATCTCTTCGGGCGTTTCCTTCAAGAGGGTAAGCTTATCGAGTCCCGTACTATTCATGTTTATAAGCTGCCGTTACCTTTTCAGAGGGACCTGCGCTGGACTGGAACAAAATTCAGAAGTTGCCCGAAAATGCAGTCATGAACTATTCTAATCTCAAGGCGCCCAAGAACGAGCAGGTATGTATTGAAATTAAGTCCATGGATGACATTTAATGGTGTTCTGGCCCTGGTATCTTTCCCACACCCAAGAAAAACAAAGACACAAACACACACACAAGCGCCCGACCCCAACAATCCAATTAAAACTAACGATAACTCTCTTGTGCGCATATATACGTATATACATATATATATATAAATGTATGTCATTATAAATTATATTTTCTTAATCTTTTCATATTTCGTGTACTTTGATTTGAACACTGAATTGCACTCATTGTTGGCGTTGCTCTTGTTGCAATGGCCACTCTAATGGCCGGCTAATGTCTGCCCATATATACATATCATATATAGAATGAGGTAAAAGCGTTTTCTTAACTCTTCTACACTTCTCTCTGGCGCTTTCGTGCTCAGCTCTCTCCTTTTGGTCTCGCTCTTGCTCTCGATCTCGCTCTCACTCTATGCTCAATTCTTAATCTTAACGGGCTTTTGGAACGCTTATTTTGTTATTTGTTTAACTACTATAGTTAATGCTTTGGTTCTTTTAGCACTTGCGCTTCATTTAATTCCAAATTTTGCTTAACCAAATCCTTTTGTGCTAACCCCCAAAATATAAAACACATATCGAACCCCTTATTAATCGTTTGTAATTGCCATGTAGATCCGGAGCATGTTGGACAAACTGGTGGTCATTAAGCTGAATGGTGGTCTGGGCACCTCCATGGGCTGCCACGGACCAAAGAGTGTCATTCCCGTGCGTTCTGATTTGACCTTCCTGGATCTGACGGTACAGCAAATTGAGCATCTCAATAAGACATACGATGCCAATGTGCCGCTCGTGCTGATGAACTCCTTCAATACGGACGAGGATACGGAGAAGATTGTGCGCAAATATAAGGGATTCCGTGTGCAGATACACACCTTCAATCAGAGCTGCTTTCCGCGTATCAGCCGCGAGCATTTCCTGCCCGTCGCCAAGGACTTTGATGTGGAGAAGGACATGGAGGCGTAAGTCACCAATTGGCATTACAAATTTGCACATATCTAATCTTATCTAATCTAACTGCTCAGCTGGTACCCACCTGGTCACGGCGACTTCTACGATACCTTCCGTAACTCGGGTCTGCTGAAGAAATTCATTGACGAGGGCCGTGAGTACTGCTTCCTCTCCAATATTGACAATCTGGGCGCCACCGTCGACCTGAACATACTCAACAAGCTGGTGGGCGAGGAGCGCGCCAGCACGCCCTTCGAATTCGTCATGGAGGTGACCGACAAGACCCGTGCTGATGTCAAGGTAACTAAGGTGCTGAGGCTGTCCTGTCAGCATACTCATATACTCTGTCCTTTTTAGGGTGGCACGCTCATCCAAATGGAGAACAAGCTGCGACTGCTGGAAATTGCTCAGGTGCCCAAGGAGCACGTCGATGACTTCAAGTCCGTCAAGACCTTCAAGTTCTTCAACACCAACAACATTTGGGCCAATCTGGCTGGTAAGTGTTGTTGGCCTAGCCTACTTTTGGGGCTGTGAATCAAATGCGATGCCTAAAATGCTGCTTTGTTGCCACAGCGATTGACCGAGTGCTGCGCGAGCGCACGCTCAACATGGAGATCATTGTAAACAACAAGACACTCGAGAATGGACTGCGCGTCATTCAGCTGGAGACGGCGGTGGGTGCGGCCATGAAGTGCTTCGATGGCGCCATTGGCATCAATGTGCCACGCTCTCGGTTCTTGCCCGTGAAGAAGTCGTCGGATCTGCTGCTCGTCATGTCGAATTTGTATACGCTTAAGAATGGCAGCCTAGTGATGTCGCCGCAGCGCATGTTCCCCACCACGCCCCTGGTCAAACTGGGCGAAAATCACTTCTCGAAGGTCAAAGAGTTCTTGGGTCGCTTTGCCAACATACCCGACATCATTGAGCTAGACCACTTGACAGTCAGCGGGGATGTGACCTTCGGCCGTGGCGTGTCCTTGCGCGTAAGTTGCATTGGAATCACATCTAAATTTGTATATCTAAATCATATTTTCCCTTGCAGGGCACTGTGATCATTATTGCCAATCATGGCGATCGTATCGACATACCCGCCGGTGCCATCTTGGAGAACAAAATCGTGTCTGGCAACATGCGCATCTTGGATCATTAATCGTCTGACCAACCGCACCTATGTGATATGCCAGAATCAGTCGTTATCTCTGTAGCATAGTTAACTAAGTTTATGTAGTAGCCATGTTCAAGTTCCAAATTACGAGTTTCATTTAGCCAATTGTTGTAAGCACAAAGTGTCATCTAGTGGAGCCGCCTCAGATATAATAAGTACATACATATATCGAGTGTACATAGTTAAGTTGGGAAATCAACAAGGGTTTTAACCATTTGCCAGTGTGCTGTCGAAATTATAAATACAAATTGAGCAATTGTTAATACTAAATAAAGGCATATTTATAACTAAAATAAAGATGTGAATTTATTATATAATTTAATTTGGATTATCAATTAATATAGAATAGTATTTGGTGGAGTTCACGGCATGGTGCGCCTTGCTAGGGCACTGGCTAAGCAGAGCCTGGTTGCAGTTCTACTTCAGCTCGTCTATCAGCTCATAATCCTTCGCCAGTTTGCCCAATTTGATGCCCTGTGCAAGCAGATCCTGTGCGACTTTCATTTGACTGGCATTGGGCTTCGACCTGCCCAGAAAGCCCACAATGAGCGCATCCAATTGTGGCCTATCTGCGTTGGCCGAATCACAGCTGGCGTCCCAGCCCCTGGCCACATAGACGTTGCCATCGCCACCCACCACGAAATTGTAGTTAATGTCCTGTTTGTTCTCGGCCTCGATGTGCACAGTTTGCAAAAAGCGCATGCGAAAGGTGCACGATGCCTGTGTAGTGCATGGCTCTGACAGGGTGAACACAAAGCGCACAGCTTTGACTGGCAGCTCCAGGGGAGGCAGCTCCTTCAGAGCGGGCTGGGCCAGCCAAGCAGCGCGTGCCACAAGCCTCAACGGCTCGTCGTTCAATCGGCGCACTGAAACAGAAAGTTGGCTTCAGGCTCAAGGATAATGGACCAAAGTGAATGGGGCTTACATGAGGTCACATCTTCAGTCCAGCGTGGCCAGTGCCGCATCAGCTCAAACAACTTCTGGCCAGGACTTTCGGTGGGCCTCAACTGTCGATGGGCATAGATGTGATAGTCCGGATGCAGCTTGTGCAAGCGCACGCCCTCGTCCATCAGCCGCCTGGCTGCACGCACCTGCCTATCCTCTGGGGCCACATTCGTGAAGGTGCCTATGAAGGCAATGCTGAGTGAGACGGAGCCATAGCCCGAGACATGCTGGCCCTGAGCGTGCCAGCCGCGACCCACGTACACCTGGCCATCGCCGCCAACCAGAAAATTATAGGCAATATCCGTAAAGTTCAGCGAGCCCATATGGAACGACTGTATCATACGCATCTGATAGATGCACGCTTCCTGCACAGATTATATATTTTAATTGTATTCCACTTAAATTATATCAGAACTCACCTCTGTGTCGCAGCCCTCCGTGGCCGTATGATGTATAATGACATTTGAAACGGGCGTGGGCAACCGTTGGAATCCGCTCGGTGGTTCCCCAAGCCACTCACTGCGATCGAGTATGCGCAGGCCGGTGCCAAGCAGCTCGCTGCTTTGGTCTGATGAGCATTTGAATCAATTAAATATTCAATTAAATAATCACATAGTGTTAGGGGATTCCTTACTCATTAGCCACACGAAGTAAGCGCCTGTTGAGGCACCCAATACCAACAGCAGGCCGCACTTCAACAGCAAACCACGCAGTGGCCGTACATTTGTATGCGGCGCCGATGACGCCGTTTGACTTTCGATAGTCGTTGGTAATTTTGGGCTTTTCATATCGCTAAATCTAATAAAATCAAATCTGCAAGGTATCACAGCACTTCCGTCTGGCCAAGCCGCTCGCTCGTCGTCGACTGAACTCACACGTGCGCGCGTTGCTGAACGTTGCTGAACAATCACAAATCTTGTTTGGCTCATTTTAGATTTCTTTCTCTCTGTATAAATATGTGTTGTTCACAGAAAAATCCCCGAAATGAACTGCGCAGCAGCGCAGCGTGGCGGTGAGCTTTTTGTAAGCTTACTTGTGGAAGCAAGCTCAATGGAATACCGTGTATACTGAAGCTAAATGGGGTAGATTGGCGTAGAAGTGGGGAGTAAAAGGTTGAGCAGTCTCTAAAAACGAGGGTAAGCTGAAATAGTATTGCTTTTATAGTTGCCATTCCTAGGGTATTTTTATAATACAAGCTCGTATGTATTTTATATGTATTTCTCTCTCGCTCCCTCAACTTTTTTGATATATTTCTGCTCAAGCTCTACTCTGGGAGGTGGAGCCTAACACACTTATATATATATAGTCTATTCTGTTGCTCATCTCGCCCAGCGCTGACATAGCGCCGGCTCTTTAGTCACGTCTAACAAACCGGACGATTTTGAGCGCCAGAAAAACCCAATGCTAATAAAATTAATTAAAATAAAACTATATAAATAATTCATCATTAATAATTTCATAATTTCATTTTAAAATAGAAAGCTTACGACTAGTACATAGCAAATATGCCACACAATTAGATTGGGGAGGGGAATAATATGACCAGTCATGAGAGTGCAATTATAATTTGTAGTTTTTGGATTGTTCAGGTGGCCGTCGTCCAGTGTGTCCAATTGGCAAAGCTCTGGTAGAGCAGCTCCGCATTGTACTCGGTGACTGTGGGCGCCAAAGTGCTGGCACCCACCAGCTGATAATTGGAGCTGATTTTGCCGTGCTCGACACCATAATCGAGCAGTAGGCGCGTCACGGTCAGCTGCTTGGCCGACGGCTTTTGCTTGTGGAAGGAGCCAATGTAGGCGAAGCTCAAGCTGCGCGTATTGTAGCCATTCATGTGGGCTCCCACCGTATCCCAGCCACGGCCAATGTAGACGTTGCCATCGCCGCCAATCAGGAAATTGTAGGCTATATCGTCCCGCTGCTGCGACTCTATATCAAAGGTCTGCAGGAAGCGCACCCGAAACACGCACTGAGCCTGAGAGCTGCAGTTCTCCGAGTTGGTCGGCAAGACTATCACCATGGGCACGGGCAGACTGAGCTGTGGCAGTTGCCTCTGCGCCGGCTGGGCCAGCCAAACAGCGCGTGGCACAAAGCGCAGCACCAAGCCACCACCAATGTTCTCATCATCTGTGAAATATAGATAAGATTTACGGTGGTTAGATGCTTAGGGTATAGTATATCTGCTTTAGTATTCTAATTGGGCTAGAAGCGTGGCAAATAAAACTCCATTCCTACTTTTTCATTTCGTTTCGTTTATTATAAATACAATGAGACTTTAACAAATACATTTAAATTCCTTAGGTTGTCTTTGCAAAGTGCGGCCAGGTCTTTATAATGCTATAGAGCTTATCTCCTGGACTTTGTGTGGCCAGCAGCTGCCTGTGGCCGTACAGCTGATAGTTTGCAGATAGCTTCTTGAGGCGCACGCCCTCCTCCAGCAATAGCTCACAGGCGCGCAGCTGCAGAGGAGTTGGCTCCGTCTTGTCGAAGCCGCCAATGAAGGCGATGCCAATGCTGCTCCTGTTGTAGTTGATGGTGTGTGCTCCAACAAAGTCCCAGCCGCGACCCACATAGACGCGTCCATCGCCGCCGATCATGAAATTGTAGCCGACTTGCGGCCAGTCCAAGGAGTCCATGTGATACGCTTGCATGGCGCGAACACGATACGAGCACGCATCCTGGCATAAATTTCAGTTTAGCGATACAGAACTCTTCAGCTGAATCCCCGTGCAGAGTTGGACTTACCAGCGTGACGCAGTTCTCCGTTACGGTGTGTGCTATAATGACGCGATTCACGGGCTGCTCTAATCGCTCCAGGGGCGAACGCGTCATTTTGCCATCCCACTCGTCAATACTGACCAACACGAGATTGTTTCCGTCGACAGCTGCGCACAGAGAAGCCTTTGTTAGTCATCAGGACTTTACAATTCACACACACACATATACATAGAGAAGCGTGCAAAAGATAGATACATAAATATATACATACATATGTGCATCATAGATAGATATTAATATATATATATATTTGAGTATATATCTTGTAAACTCATATTCCAGTCAACTCAACATCGCGATAGCCAATTTCAATTTCTCTTTTCAACACTTCACAACACTTTTTAAACGGCACAGTTATGAAGATCGCGGGATAGGTTTATGTTAAATGATTTTCAGTGTGGCGAAGGTGAATGTGAAACAATAAAATTCAAAGGGAATTCAGCGAGATTAGATGTTGCTTTAATTACTTAAAATACATATTACATCTGGAGCATACAGATATCTAGATATCTACTACTAAGTGGGCTTCTTATTGGTCCAATGCGGCCAGGTCTGAATGATTCTGTACAATACATCACCGGGACTCTCTGTGGCGCTCAGCTGCCGATGGCCGTATAGTTTGTAGTCGGGCGCCAGCTTCTTGAGCCGCACACCCTCTTCGAGCAGTTTCTGGCATGCGTACAGCTGGGCATCTGATGGCCTAATCTTGACGAAGGTGCCAATGAAGGAGATGCCAATGCTGTCTGTGTTATAGCCCTTCGTATGGGCACCCTGTACATCCCAGCCGCGACCCTCGTAGACCAGACCGTCGCCCCCAACGAGAAAGTTGTAGCCAATGTGATCCCAATTCCAGCCGTCCATGTGAAAGTTCTGCACGATTTGCACTCGAGACTCGCACACGTCCTTAAAGCAAACGGATGATGATTGAAAACTGATGGCGACTCTCTCTCTCTCTCTCTGAGCGTGCCGAGCTGTTAAGCTTACCCGTGTCTCGCAGCCCTCGGCGGCCGTATGCGATATGATGACACGATGCACTGGCAGAACAAGTTTCGTCAACTCACTTTTGGGCTTCCGTCCACCCCACTCTGCAACACTTAGCACTCTCCAAGGATCTGCGACACGAAGTCATTTGGTATTAGATTGAGTTATCAAGCAGGCACTAAAAACTATTCATATTCCAGTCAATTGAACTAAGGTCACAGTTTCACTTCAAAGCACTTTGCAACACTGCTACCTTCGATACAGATACAGTTGGCCACACTCAGCGATAATTTGAAGTCATATATATGTACATCTATATATAGATATTTACATATATATTTGTACATATGCTTGCCGCGATGTTAAGTAATTTTAAATAATTAATGATAGTTTAAAGTATTTGCATTGGTTAGGCACAATTAAAAGTAGAACAGAGTAGAATATAGAAGTGTGGAAAGGTGAGGGGTTAAAGCTTGCCAATTGCTAATACCAATTTAACAAAATTTTACGCACACAAAGAAAAGCGAGAACAAAACTGTACCTATTTTTGAATTGATTGGAATATTTAGTCTTGAGTCTTCGCCGTCACCAAGCTTACTTTTACTTAACGATTTGCTAAATATATTTGTGGTCGTGGCCAAGACGACGAGCAGGCCAACAGTGAAGAGGGCAAATGCAGCCGTTATGAAAACAGCCTTCATTGTGATACTGCTTGGCAGAAATGGACACAGAACGGGCTCCTTGCAGGACTCATTCACCTTGCCGCCTGTGGAAGAGATAATGAATCATCAGAATATATCAATCAGATAAGAGGTAACACCTAACTAAGTTCTACATAGATGCGTATCTCATACATTTACTAGTCGCTAGCCCACGCTCTAAAATCTCTAAACGTTTCTCATGCTGCTTCAGGCACAGCTCGAGCTTCACACTGAAGAGCTGCCGGAGGCAGAAATCGCATTGCCAGTTTATGTTGGGCGTGATTTGAATAATCTGTAGCTGCTGCTCGCTCAAGCCACTGCACTTGGCATGAGAAACACGCCCACACGCCGCCCCACACGTGAGAGGATCACGATGGATGAGCCCACGACACTTTACACAATAATTCAGCGCGTTCCTCGACATTTCTTGAAGCACGGAATGACAGCAACTGCTAAAATCAGAGTGTAACTGAAATGCCATTCCTTATAGATCGGTTCTTTTTTTTAGTCTATCTATAGTATATATACTATATAGAGTAAACAACAGAATCGGCGCTTGTTTAGCTTGTTGGAGAAAGTAATTAATTTCCATTGTACAACGAAATCGAATAAAAAGTCCCCCTGCTACCGGGGGCACGTGACTTTGATCCCAGCTTTATACTCTAGTTAAGGGGAAGCACCGACTAGTTAAGCGAGTTTAACTAAACAGCTAAACAGCGTCAATTAGTTCACTAGAATTCTGTTTTTGTGACTTGAATCATGGCAAGATTGAGAATTATCCGAGTAAACAATTGCAACTGTAGCCAGCTGCCACTGTTATTGTTTGCTCTTGGCCATCTCTGTGGGCGGTGTTTGGCTGATTTCGTCTAATTTATGGCAGCAGGTCAGATGCGCAATTTACTACCGCACACGTTGCGTATGCGCAATCTGCAACATTTCTGCAATTGCCATTCGATTTGTATACACAAAATCATTTCATATTTATCTTTGTCTAGCAGGAGTTATTTTCCAAATTATTTATAGCTAGCTATTAATTTACATATTCTCATTCTTATCAATTCTGGGAACTTTTTAGTGCTGCTATAAAATTACTTTTCTGCTTTAAATCATGATAATTTGCCACTCGCAAACATTTAACACTTTTCGCCCTCCACATTCTGTATACGCGAATTCTCTCTTTCTCTCTCTCTCTCCCGGCCAGCGAATATACTTCATAATGTCTGCCCTGTGGCGCTCAGTAAACAAAAAGAAAAATTAAAATAAAATAAAAAAAAATAATAAATAAAATGCTATTTGCACGCTTTGAGCGTTAGCCACAGGCCGCCCCACAAAACAAATAAGCGATCCAAGGTGAATGCGAAGCGTAAATACAAATTCACGACGAACGGACAGTAAAACGGACGAGCAGACAGACAGTCAGTCGGATATTCAAGTTAAATATTCTCTCTCTCTCTCCTTCTCTCCCTTTCTTTCCTTCTTTCCCGCTTCATCTTTTCCATCTCCCTCTCAATCTAACTCTCTCTCTCTGTCGCTCTCTCACTCTTTCCCTCTCTAAGCTCAACTACTATCTTACCTGCAGCATTGCCGTTGGACGTGCCCTGCGCATTGAATCCAGGATTCTGGCCGCCCGTCTCACCATCCTGGGTTTTCCACTTCTCGCGATTATCGATCAGTATCTGCTGTATCGTCACTGGACCCTCGTAGTAGTGCTTGTCGCCGAATGTGACGTCTGTGGTGTTGCTTAGTGCAATACTGCCAATCTGCTGGGTCGCTGCTGGCGCTGTGGGCGTGGCCAGGCTGAGGTTGCCATTGAGCAGCTGCTTGGCCACCACATCGGGTGGCGTGGGCTGCGCGCCAGCCGCCTCAGCTCCGCCCGTGGGCAGCACCTGTCGACTGATCACCGTCATGCCCTTGTTGAGCTGCGTCAGCTCGGCGCTGTGTGGCGGGTGGGTGATCTGCTGGCCCAGCTTCTGCACCGTGCAGCTCTCGTCGGGCTCCGCCTCGGAGTCGCTGTCAATGCAGCTGGAGTCGATGGCATTCTCATCGATGGACACAATGGAGATTGTGGTGCTGCGCACCGAGAGTGTAGGTGATGATTTCTTCGGCCGATAGGCAGCTGTCGCTGCAGTGTTGCTGATGTTTACCGTCGCCTCGACCTCGATGCTGATATGATTTTGTGTCGTGGCTTCCGCCTTCGTTTGTGCTGGCTCTGTGGTTGCCTCACAGTTTCTGCTGCCGCTCTTCGGGCTGCTCTCTTTGGTCGTTGGCCCCGCCTTGAATGTTGCTGCATTGTCAACCAAACCGACGCCCGAATCTGTTGAGGATGTGCTGCAATTCTTGCCGCTGCTGCGATTTATGATGTGTAAATGTGAATTCGTGCTCGTGGTTAGCTCCGTTCCATTGTCGCAATACATGTTTCGCAGCACCTGTACCACTGATATCTACAATTTGTGGTTGTGCTTTGTTCTTCTTGTTGTTGTTTTTGTTTTTGCTGTTATTCTTGTTCAATAAGTGTTTTTGCACTCAGCATCTGTTGCAGCGCAGCTGAAACATTTTGACTGAATAATGAGTGGAGAATGTTTTGTGCTTTTTGCTTGGCCTGGCCTGGGCTCTAGGAAAACATCATCACATCATGAGCATCTGAAAGTAAATTTACATTTTCACTCAAAATGTTGATAACAAGAGATTTTATTTTGGCAGTTCTCGACTTGAAGATACCTTGCACTTGAAGAATTTTTCGGTTATTATATGCATAACTGGCAAATAACAAATGACATAACCCAATCTCTTTATAAGTATAGTAAAATCCAATTATTGTTGTCAAAAATAAATATTAAAGATAATGTATGTAATATTTATAGTCTTAACTTTTTCTGATTGCCTAGTTTAGCTCCGTTCGTCTCCCTTATCAATAACATATATATACTCTATGGGTCTCTATCATACCTCCATCTACCAGCCAATATACCCTTCATCCCCATTCGTAATGGGTGCAAACAAATGATAAAATTCAGCGACTCAGCGCTTCGCATATTTATCATTAAATTTTTGCTGTCTGCTCCAAGTTTTGCAAGGTTTAATATATTTTTGTTTTTTAATTATTGCTGAACAACTTGGGAAATATTAACTTTCTTGAAATATTTAATTTGTTATTAGAAAATCTTTTTACATTTGAAAAAATGATTAAATGCACTTCCTATATGTTAACAGCTTAAACTTTATAAGTTTATTCTCGGCTCGCTGTTTTGTTGATAAGCAATTGAGGCCAATGTAGAGGGGATATATATAAAAGTATATATATAAGATAATGCATATGTAAGGGCGGCATTCATTTTTGTATTAATTTATAAAACGTCTGGCTAGCGTCGATTTACAATGCAAATGAAGCCTGGCTTTAGTAAAGATCTTTAGGCGTTTCTCCTTTAATTAGTCCCGCATCTGAGACTCTCTCAAATTGATGATTCTACAGGTCTCTTAGCTATTATAATTCTAGTGTTTATCATCGTTAAAGACACACTCTAACAATTCCATATTGCAATTTCTTATCAGTTTAATAAGAATTTTCAGACTTGTTGCATAATCAACGATATCAAATCCGCAAACCAGTTTTAAATGGAGCAATAAAAAATTATTTTTCTTAGAAAATATTCCAAAGCACTTAAACTGAGCCCCTAAATGAGAAATATTTTGTATGCTAATATATTTTGATCACTTGAAAATATTGACTAAGCCATAAGCTGGATTTAAAAGTTGCAGCAAGCCAACTTGTTGTAGTGAAAGCTTTTTGGCTACCAGCCCAGTTTTTAGAAGAGTATTTGAGCAGTCCATAGACTGTCTCAGCAATTCCATTCAGTCAAAGTGCGCGCTCAGTTACGGCACATGAGTTATGCTAATTATAATAATTCGTATTGGAGAGTCTGCTAAATGCATTCCGAGAACTTGGCTGGCCGCTTGAAAAGCTTTGCAAACAATTTTACGACATGAGCAAAGCTCAAATATATTCTCTATATACATATACATATGCATATATTGTATTGATATACAATGTTTTCAAACATACAGCACGAAATCAAGGTCGAAAGTCACGACATCGTGGCGTCATAATTTATTGATTGACAGGGAACATTTGATAATTGTCACTATCATCCAGGTTGAAGTGGAGCTAACAAACAAACTCTTTCATGCCAAGGCATTTCCTTAAATCAAGTCTGGAGGGTTTACACACATCTGCCAGCCAATCGAATGTGTGTGTGTGTGTGGGGTGGTGGGGGGGGGAGGGGTGGATTAGGTGCTCGCTCCCGTTAAAGTTGGCACAGAGCGCGTTTTTCAGATAACAATGGCGCAATACAACAACTACAACTACATCAAGAACAGCTCACACACATACACACACACACACATGTTTGCTCGCGCGCACCGAGACATCGCCGCGTTGTCTCTGAGCTGCTCACTAATACAAACAAAGCGGCTTTGAAGCGGCTGCGGCCATTGCTGGCTGCGCGTGTATCTGTGTGTCTGCGTCTGTGTGTTGATCGTCAAATATATAAAATAAGGAACAACAACAACAGCAAAAACAACACTGCAATTACCAAGTCTCGCTTGTCTGTTTCATGTGTGTTAACAATTATCATTGAATGGGAATTGCTGGGCGCAAATGAATTCCTTTTTTTTATTCCTCTGCTCATTTATATATTGTTCTCTAGAGTACATTAGTTATGGACAATGTTCGTCTGTCATGAAGGTAAATCTCTTCATTTGATATATATAATTTTTGCTCTATATTTACAGAATCATTTGATATGGCCCTTCATGGCATAGCTAACCGGGAAGTTCACAGCAAACACATCCCCATTTTTCCTTTTGGTTTCTGAAGCCATGGAAATTGGGAAATCAAGGTATAATGATTTTGGAGGTGTAGCAGAGCCCAGTAAACAATTTATTTGATTGATCTGGATAACGAGTGAAGTTGTCGCGAAATTTTACCGAATTCCCATCTGAATGCCCGTTGCAAATATATCCAATATGTGCATGAGTTGGCATTTTTTTTTTAATATGAAATATTTAAAATAATATACAGAAAACTTCGTTAAATTTTGTAAAATATTAAACATAAATTTAGGCCAATCAGCACACGCACGACCTCCAGGGAGAAATTATAATTTTAAGATGCGTAAATTCAATTAGCTTTATCCAAAGGCTGAGCCAATAAATATGTGAATTTCAACATGTGGAGATTATTATACTCCAGCGCAATGAAATGAGATTTTTAAAGTCGATAATTTGACATAATTTTGAAAGATTTTTTATTTAATGTATTGGACTGTCAGCTCTTGGCAAGTTTTAGGGCATCTCCTAGTCGAATAGTCTCGACTAGAGCATTATTACTTGTTTTAAAATACGAATTGGTTTATTTATTGCGATGGGGTTTTATCTTTATTATTTATATGCAGATTGCTTCAACAATGTAAATGTATATATACTTTTATAGATAATATATCTTATATATACTCAACACTTTTCATATATGAATATTCTTTGTACTATTCAAGCTTAACTTTTAGCTTTTTTTTTGCTTCACTCATAAATATTTATTATATATATATCATTATTGTATTTTATTTTATTTTATTTATTTATTTTATTTTTTGTTTGTCACTTTCTAACATCAGTTTCGTTGCTTCCGTGTAAATGAGAATAAGTGTATTGTGCTTGCATTACTGATTCCATTGTGTGCGTTTTATTACCGTAAATTTAAGGCATCCGTGGGCTGATTTACAATAAGAATACGAATTTAGTGCGTGATTTTCGTAATCAGTTGAATAATTCGAAAAACAATCGAAAAACAAACGTATTAATTAATTAGTTATATACAAAGTCTATATATAGTATACGTATAAATATAATGCTAATGGTATTATTTTTTTTCTTATATGGCGGTAAATTGAAATCAACGCGCAGCGACACGTTCGAGAGGCTCCGATCAACTGAGCGTCAATCAAAACGCGTTGCGAGTCGCTGAGCCGAAGACCCTTGCAGCGAGCGTTGGTCGAGAGCAAATGAGAGAGACCACCGGTAGATAGAGGCGAATTAGGAGAGACGGAGCGCAGAGAGAGAAAGAGAGAGAGCACAGCTCGACATCGGAAATTTTTACAAAACGCCCATAGCTGAGTCTATAAATGCGTATTTTCTCTATGCTCTGCAGCCGATTGATAATGGGTTTTCCTAAATATTATCGGAGTTTGCTTTGAGCTCTGCTTATTCTTGTTTCTCTTTTTTTCGTTTCTGCCTTTAGCAATGCACTTAAAAAGTTGATTCCAGTTTCCCAAATCTATCTAGTTAATATTCATAATAACGAGTTATTTTCCATTTAGTCTCTGTTCCACATAAAACGAAACGAGTTCTTCTGAGTCAAAAGGAAAACCCCTAGCCACATTTTTTAGCTCCGCTCATTTATGTTTATCATAGATCTAGACATCCTGTGCATCACTCTAGAACCAGTTCTTTCAGCCTAGTTGTTTCAGTTTTCAGTTCGAGCTTTAAGCGAATTATTGAGTGAAGTCAAATATTAATGATTTTTCGTGTCTAATTTTTTTTTTTTTTTTTTTTTTTTTGCCTATTCTCCAGCTTGTTTTACGCTTCACTGTTTTGATTATATTTAGACAGTTTTTTCTATTGTTTTTTTTTTTCTTTTGGCGGTATTTTTTTTTTTGTTTGTACAACTTATAAACAACAAAAAACACAAATACAAGCACACAACGACAGATGCTATGCAGAGTGTGGGCTACAAAATTCTCCGAAATTTTCTGTTTTGTTTGTTTGCGGTAAGCAAAATCTGAATATATACATATGTATATGTATATTTTAGATATATAGCTCTCAAGTTGACTAGTAAAAACCTGTGCAAAAGCAGGTAACTCTTAATGATGATCTTTGCAGCTCCACACCGAATTCCTGAACCAGGAAATATCTCAGGGCTTTCGAGTACAGCTGTACCCACCCGAAAGGCAACTTACATTGCATTTCCATTGAAATTGCAATTTAATCTTTTATTTATTTCATCGGCTTTGGAGTGCTGCTGCTCAGCACTGATAAGTTATTAAGTGCTTGAGCATTTGTTAGCATAGGTCATTAGCTAGTCAGGCAAGTAGATCACATAAATCAAGTAAACATGCAGCACAAGTCACTATATAAGGCGGATAGTGCTTAGATATTATATTTTCTTTGAATTTTACCCAGAAATAATGGAATGGACTTTTTAGTTATCAGTGGAAATGGCATAGTTTCCAAATGATATACAGTTTTTAATTAACTCCCAGGCACATAAAAAAACCAGCGACGACAACAAGAGAGACAGCATCAATATAAGTAATATTGCCGGCATATGTGTGTGTGTCTGAATTGTATCGATAATGATGTTGTACTAACCACATATATACATATGTGTATATATATATCGT